GGAAAGTGGTAACCGTCACCTATAGACATGAGCAGTACCATGGACATAACAGAGTATACTGTATCGCCCATGATGCCGCCCATGCTACCTTGCCATTCCTGAGGACTCAGATGTTATTCATCTGTACCCAGTAAATTCACGCCATATCCGACCCTTCAAACCGAAACGCAGCCATGCAAACACAACTGTTTCACTTCTACTGGGGAAAATCGGATTTTTAAAATTATAGGAATAATAAAATGATGTTTCTAACTAGTACCGTTTTTGAGTTGTTTGTATTAGTAGTAGTAGAATTAATTTTGTATGAGAAAGCCGAAAAAGGTAATTTTATCAAATAATTAAATATTTATGTACGGAACTTGCGGCGAGTGAGTGTAACTCGCACCTAATATTTATTTTTAAATCGTACAAAATTTTATATATTGTTGTAACGATTAAATGAGTTCGTTACATGTTAATTATTAACAAAATAATAATTAATTCGTTTTCAACCAACTTACGAGAGGGAAGGTTTTAGGACTGTATTTTGTGTGTATGTGTTACGTCTCTAATTAATTTTCAGGAGATTGATAATGATTTTTTACTTTCGTATTAGTATAAGTTTTGATTAAAGTAGGTTTTTTTTCAACTACATTTCTTGGCATTTTTTTTAATTTTCACTTATCAATTGAAGTCATAGTTTTTCATGACGGAAAATCTTAAATTATTTGAATATATTCTTAGATGTTTATTTACGTCTTTTTTTATTTTTAAGACATAATTTCAATTTTATTATGTTATAAAAAAGTTATTTTATAATTAATTGAAGAAAGATAGTCTATAGGTATTTTTTTAATCTATAAAATAGATTATACATTCATAAGATATATATTAGATTAATATAATACAAAATATAGTTGCCACATTCAATCATTTTATATACACTTAATATTTTTTATCATATAATACGCGGTACTTCGAGTGGTCTGCTCGTGCGCCATCGCCTCAGAGGTCTTCATATTCTAGTTTCGTGATGGCAAAAAGTATTCGTCAACTGGCTCGCGCTTGACACATTTACCAGTAGGGTCGACAAACTCCGTGTACGGACACCATTGGCGGGGCACGATTTGGACATTTTGCCTTTTCGGGCAATAATAAAAAAAAAATATTTGCAGATCTTAACAATAACACGTTATCTAAGTATAATTGGCAATAAAACTGTAATCTCTTTATTTATAAAAACGTCAAATCTCTCATAAAGTTTTGTCTCTTTCTTTTACACTAAATTCCCGATTTGAAAAAAAGTGACAAAACAGCGTAATAGTTTAAATAGGTTTGTTAATCTTTTAGTTTTTATGAATCCTTATTCAAAAAAACTAAGTGCAAGAATTTACCGGTGCTGTAGAATATTTAGGTATTAGGTCAGAAATTTCGCATAGCAAAAATGTTAAAATGTCAATGAAGAATTCAAAGAAAACATATTTCTCTCTCTTTCTCTATTTTCTCTGTACCTATTTACCTGTATTATATTGGTGATGGTGACTATTACACCACGAAATACTTTTTCAGTCACCTGCTAGATAGCCTAATTTTGCCGCCTCATTTTTGCCCTACTGGGCAATTTCTGTCTAAACTAATTAAGCGTTTCTTTCGATTATCTAGTATCCATTTTGATCACATAGTCTTGCAAAATATATACTACATTATTATATATTGTTATTTATTCAAATTGCTACGTGCAAAGTCAAGGGCTACAGCTGATATTTTTAAAGTCTCAACAATTTAAACAAGTATTCGTTCTAAATAAATTATTTCCAGAACGTAGTTATGTTACTTCAAACCGCAAGATAGAAAAAGCCATTTTAAAACTGACAGAAAGCCACACTCGTTCGGTGTCGGTTAACTCGACCATAATATCTATTGTGTTGGACAAAAACCTGTAGCAAGAAGCAAACTATGATGATATGAGGACTACTATACTATGTACGTTATAGGATGGTGCGGATGATAAGCCAATAAACCATAGCCAATAACCAAATAATACTGAAATACGGATTCAAAAAACATTTGATTGTGAGAAAGTATGATCATTAGATTGACTTCAATTCTAAAAATCTCAATAAAGTTAATAAAGTTGATAAAGATTAATTATATTATATAAATAAATTACTTTAAATAACAGTAAACACATTTATAATTATATGCAAAATAAAACATTTTTCAGTTGTCTCAAAATTACTCCATTAAAATATATAATGTAAATCAATAAAAACTATTTCAATTAAATTGTATAATTATTATTAATATAAGGTAACACTTTTAGGTAACACAATATAAATTTTTTTATAAGCATAGACAATTTAATGTTGGCAACATTCTTTATGAATGTTGTCTAGACTTTTTGCTTTGTATTTCCTATAGTGTGCAGATGTTATAATGTGTTTTTAATTCATAAAAACATATTCTGTATTTTTATCAAAATCTGCGTGTTTCATATCTGTATTAATTGTGACAATATTATTTTAAAGAAAGTAATTAAAAAAACTAAATTATTGTAGTATTGAAGGAATTATGGAATATAAGGAATTAATTATTATATTGATTAACGAATTTAATGTAATTAATTATTTATAATTATTATAATAACGATGAGAGAGTAATGCATTACTAGGTCTGGATCTCTTTTAATTAGTCGCTTATAAAATTTACTATAAAATCGATTCAGGGCCCTTAATTGTTAACGGCTGTGACATGAGCGCGAATTGATCCCGAAATTAGTCGAGCTTTCCCGATCTAATCACACATAAGTTAAACCAGTAGTTATTAAATTAAAATGCGTACTTACGAAAAATTTTACATTTTTTTTTTTATATTATTAAAGACTTTACGATTATACCAATAAACAGTAAAATTTTATGTTTTCCAGTGTTGAAAAGGTGCGTTATACGTTTGATATCATCGGACAAACAGCCCGATGGTGTCAGTAAGTGCCATAAATTCCACAGCAATGTAAATAATGAGCGGACAATTTGGCATTTTAGATGCAGGTGCCTGAAAATTGGCAGACGATTAACGGGTTATTGATAAGAAGGGTTCTGTAGGTACTTTATGCATATGAAAATAACGGAGGAATAAATTAAAACAAATAACAATAAATTATAACAGGAAAACAATTGCCGAGAGTACAATAGTAATCATTATCATCGTCATATCAGCCGCTCACTGTCCACTGCTCACCATAGACCTCCTCCATAAGGGAGAAAGGGGGAGGTGGGTTGGCAACCGCAGTTAGGCTTTGGTGGAAGGAAGAAGGACGCCACTGTCCAATCCCCGACTATTAATCCTCTTAGTTACTTTTTACGACATCCACGGGAAAGATTATAACAATGATGTACCTATATTATTACAAAATAAATGTATTTTAATATTACATGTGCGTACTTGATGGAAAAAAAAATAAAAAAGTATTTTTTTTCCTGTCTAACATACAAGAGCATCATGCATCACACGTATCGTCTCGCAGAAACATATTCGTCGAATTTTCCGAAACTTTATATTGAAGTATACATACCTTTTATTCTATTCTTTAAATCGTTTGACCAAAACCTCACAGTCATGAATAAAATCACTCATTAATAGTTTTATTTAGTCGACTTACAAAAAAAGAGGTTTTATTGTATTTGCGTGTGTTTTTATATAATTGTTTTAACTGTAATACCATACTTTGAACATGGTAACATTAAAAGGTTTTAACATACGATTGAAATTAGCATTAAGCCCACCTTTTGTATGACGTTTTATTGGTCAATAAAGTTTAAAAAAGGAAATATAATTTCGTTTTTTTTTTGTAATCTAGTCTTAGGTATGTTTAGATTATTCGTATTAATTTTATTCAGAGACTATTTTTTTTTCTGGGAATAATATAAGAGTTGTCACAAAGGCTTCGCCGGAGTCCTACGTGACCCTGATGCGGCGCGCCCTCATCATGGCGACCCACTTGTGCCAACCTTTTAGCTTTACCGACAGCGACAGTACCTACATGTAACAAAATACTTGTGCAATTTGTAAAACTATAGCGTTAAAAACAGTTAAAATAAATACTGAAAGAAATACCGCGAAAGATTAAAAAAAAAGTTCGCTATGAAGTGCTAGAAATATTTACTATTTACTTTTGATCTTAATGTCTATGGTTAAAAATGTCTTTGAATAAATTTTCATAAATGAGGTATTAATAAAGGTACTAAAAAATAGTTTAATTGTTCTTAAATTTTCTAGTATTAGTTATTTTAAATCTATTTCTTTTTAACCTTATGCAATTTATTAAACAATGCACAGTTTAACCTTCTTAAAATGTACTTAATATTTTATTAAATAATGCAATTGCCTAATTAGTGTAATTTAAATAAACTATGAATATATTTTTACTTCGTTTTATATCGTTAATATATTTCTGGAACAAGATTCACTGATCCGTTGCTTGCCTCTTAGCTAGCATTACAAAATTGATTGTAAATGCAATTCTTTCCGCATTCTGATTCTATTGTGAATTATTTCATAATACAATATCAGCGATGGAATTTTACAATCTTATCCGTGTAATTAATCAAAAGTTACGACCATAGGTCGCCGGTACCTTCGAATAATGCTGGTGACGTATAGGAAAGCGTAGTGAAAAATTTAAATATAGGAATTATTCTATAGTTACAAAGGAATCTATGAAATATGGATGTTAATTTAATTTGTACATTTGAGCACTTTATGGCATTAAGTGTAGTTGTTTAAATTTATTTTTGCAAATACGTTATTTTTTCAAATGTACTCGTTGGTAATGTTTTTTTTTTTTTACAACACAGGGGGCAAACGAGCATGCGGCTTACCTGATGGTAAGTGACTACCGCCGCCCATGGTCACCCACAACACCTACGGCATTGCAGGTGTGCTGCCGGCCTTTTATTAATAAATTAATAATTAACTTTAGTAATTAAAATTGAAACTATTTGTTTGGTTATAAAAGTACTTACATCATTTTCTTGATTCTCGTTCTCGTTAATTGTATATTCACTCGTCACATTTATATCACCATTATTTATGTTTTTATCACCACTGTCTTTAATAGTATATTCATTTATATCACCATCGTCCATTGATATTACCGATCTCACATCATTTTTGTCCTGGTCATCAATTTGTCCATTTTTAAAATCACCAATCGCTAAAATACCATCCACTGTAGCACTGGGATGTCTTAGCTCCAAACGAATAGTCCTACTTGAATCTTTATCAATGCTTATATTTAATTCAGCAGAAGTATTTTTGCTTCCACATAATTTTCATTTTCCTCCAAACTTTTACAAGCTTTTCTTTTCAAATTCTGCGGCGATTCTATTTGCTTATCGATCAATTTTATATTATTGTTATTTGAAAACTTTACTGCTGACAATTCTGCAGTCATGTTTGTTTTCCTAGAGTCTATGTATTCGTCTATTTGCACTTTTTTACGTTTATGAATATTCTCATTAAAAATATCGTCTACTGTTAGATTTTGTTGCTCAGTCATATCCGGCAGGTTGACTCCGTTCATTTTGGTCATGTTGACGATAGATAGTTCCAGTACGAATCTAATTGATCACATTGTGTGGAACGACTGGGGGTTATCTCGTGCCATTGTCGGTTTAACGCGGCGTAAATCATCGACAGATGATTATCTATCCAGATATGATGACTGCCATAACCGACCAATTTGACTTGACTCCTAATTTCAGTAATACGAAGTCCTGCAAAATCGATTTGTCCAAGGCCTCTTTAGACTGGTCCAGTTGTATTGTTACCGCCGCGTTGGGCAACTATCGTGAACTTTTACACGATTATTGTACCGCCATTACGTTTCGTATGAGAATTCTATTTTCTTTAGATCGATGATTTCAGTTTTGTCTCTTTCTGTTGTATAGTTTTGTCTTCTTCCAGCGTCAAATGATGTTATTGTTTACTTGCCCCGTTAGTTATTGATGGTATAGGAAATCACTGTTCGCCTCCAATATGTGATTATCTTCGTAAAGAAGGTATCTTTTTTTTCGAATTTGTAATGGCTTTATCGATCTTGAATATGACGATGTTATTTTAATTTAGGATATTGATGGCACGTTCGAAAATATAATGGACTAAGCACTTGAATAGATTACTTTAAGAAGAATAATTAATTTCTAAAACAGTAATTAAATAAGGACGAGAGCGAATATTTAAATTTGGAATTCTTAAATTAAATTTCGAAGTTCCCGCGTATAGGTAGCCACGTGAGCGGGCGCGCGTCGCTCGAGGCTATCACATGGAGTGGGTGCGCGCGCGCAGACGTACAGCCTCGAGACATGATAAAGATGGGGAGTGTATAGTGTATGCTAAATAATCAGATTAATTCCGATATTAAATCTATAGAAATTTCAGTATAAATCCAAACGAGGGTTGGATAATCAACATTGAACTGTAACCGCACTATTATTAGATAAATTATATTTATTAAATTGTCCTAAAATTTATCAAAGTAAGTTTCTATTATAGTATTAATTATTCATTAATTTGCTATATTAAAAAATATGTACCTAACTATTTCATAGTTACTAAATTATAATACCTACAAAAAAATTGTTTAAATCAATTTTCTCATAAACACAATCAAAAACATTGTATAAAAAAGTCTAATTTCATCCTTTGATCATTTATTGAGTTTCCATTTTATGGCAAAATCTGTGGATGAAATGTATAGACCACCCTTATGATTTCATTTTACGTTTAGCATACGTGAATAAAAGATAAAAGTTAGATAAGATAAAATTTGGAAAAAATATTTGAATTATTGTTATATGACATTAAACGATGAAACAATTTGAATTAAAATGTATACGTATGTAAGGTATAAATGATACCGATGGACAACAGGACAAACTGCGGTATGCATAAGCGTAAACTCTTGTAAGAGTTTATATTGTTACTATGCAAAATCATGGATAACAATAGCTAGTAACTTAAAAGTAAAAAAAAAAACCCTTCAATATGGGTGAACGACGTCACGGGTAAATCAATTAGTGTACAACAAAAAATAGCATTACTCTTAATAATGGTATGGTTTATCTGAATATTTAACATATACTAACCAAAAAAGCTTCCCGCTCGCACCATACCGCGAATCTATAACTTTGTTCCTTTCATATCCAGTTTTTATCTCGTTGTGTGCAGAGCTTTTGTACAGGTAAGTTGGTGTGCGTGCGTGAAATGATTTCCGAACATGCCACTGAGATGTACTAAAAAATATGCTGCAATGGAAATTTGTATTTTTTTCTTTTAGTTCAGTGACAACGAATATTATTTAGAATGGTAGTCTATTATGAAGAGGACATTAATTTAAGGGCATTCTTTACATTGTAGCAATAAAAAAAAACATTCTTGACTTTATTATTATCTGAAATAAGTATCATAAATAACGAAACCCTCGAATACAAAACTAGAAACTAGTTTACTTTAGCTACGCGGGTTGAGTAAGTTTTCAGCAATGTCATAGAAAGATAATTAAGGACAATTGTTCATATTAATTAGATTGATATATCATTTGGTTTAGTTAATGCCAGAGGTTGTTGACCAGAGACACTGGTCAATCGATCAGATCACAAAATATATTTACAGTTACAAACTTGGGGAAATACCTAATATAAGTATTTTTATACTTGTAAAAATATAGTTTGATTATTTTTCAATACTTTATACATTGATTATATCTTAGCCGAATATAAAATCAAGAAAATGCATTTAAAGTATAATGAGAGCAAATTAGTTAAAACTTTTATTAAACCTATTGACAATCGATGAGAAAGAAAAGTTTTTGAGTGTCTACTCTGTACAGACAAACGCAGTATAGGACGCCCCCTCACTAGACGGAGCGACGACCTCAAATGAATTGCTGGGAGACAGTGGATGTTGGTAGCTTGGGACCGTTCATTATGACTGTCTTTGGGGGAGGCTTATGTTAAACCGTAAAAATATAACGACTGATATGATAATAACGATTTTTAAATTGAGTTGTATTTATACACACGGCAGTCTATATACTTACAATCGCAAGAACTGTACAATTATGAAACACGTGTCACTAACTGTAAAAGTCAGCTCTATTTCATTCATCTCAGTGGCACTCACTCCGATGGACTGACACAGATCAGATAATGATATTAATGAGCAATTATAACCTATTTATGTATATACAGTACATAAAATAGTGTATAGTTATGTGGTTATTTTTTTTTACTAACATCCTGAACTTACTGCACACAGCCAGTGTAACGTTGTCCGGTAGTTTTTTTTTTTGCGATTATAATGCACAGAAGCGATATTGTAAATGGCCACACACAGATTGGAAACTAGTGATTACGGGCAATCTTAATGTGACCCGTTACGAGTATCGAATTTACGGTCGTTTGTTGGCAAATACATAGGTTGCTGTCAAAGCAAAAATAAAGCTTATATTAGCAATCTAAGTAGAACAGCGACTACTGCGACGTTAAAAATATGTCATTTTAGGGGATTATAAATATTTGTTAATTACGTTTCCAGATTTTAGGGGACAATAAATGATTTTTAGTGACGTCTCCAGGGTATACTATAAGATTACTAAGGAGTCATGTCTTTTTAAAGTCACAGACGTCGTCATGCCACCAAGGAAACAAGTTAATTAATAATACTTATTAATTTAATACTGAAATTTTATAAAGTAAGTTTATATTGTATTGTGAAGATAAAATTCACAGACGTAAATAGAAAATAGACGACGTAACCTAATTTTATTTATTTGATAATTAATCGTTTACAAAGTTGTTGAAAGTGCTATTTTCTTATTGATTGATAACAACATATTACTAGCCCATTTGCTTTGATGTTTTGGAAGCTATTTATAATAAAAAAAACAATCTCTAGAGTATTTTACTATTTCCTTTAAATCATTGGACCTTTTTATTCAACATAAATTTAGTGACCAGAAAAATAGTCAATTTGAGAATTTTTTTGAGGTCAGTAAGAGATAACTTTTGTTTACGTTTGATGTGAGTGCGACCGTCTCTATCTGTATGTCAATTACGTTCCCACGACAAATGTCATATTTAGTCAATTTGTTGTTTACTTTGAAAAATAATAAATATTAAAAATTGTCGGTGATAACATAAAAAAAATTTAAATAAATCTTAATAATCATTAGCCAATAGAAAATCATATATTGAGATAATGAGTCAGTAATGACTCTATTAAAAGAAGCAAGTAAGTGTTTGAATGTGTACATAAACATATGAATATTCATATATAATAGATAGGTTTGTAGATACGTAGGTAAGCACGTATGTGTCATGTGTCATCCGAAAGCACTTGACCGAGGTGTGAGATTCTACCGAAGTTCAAAACGTAGGTGGGTGAAGTGATAGTGGCTCTACCATGGAATCAACTTCTTTACTATGAAAATTAATCCTTAGCTTCGTATCAGTACAATGAAAAAACCTTCCTTAGATGGAAAATGATAATTTGTCATAACATATTGAGTGTGAATTTATTTTGTTATTTAAACAACAAGTTTTTGTTTTGTTTGGCACTAAAATTTCGGAATAAATTTCATGGTCGTTGGAAAGACATGTAAAAATAGATGACGCAAGTGTTTCAGTTTAATAACTACTAACTAAGCTTGACACTACTAACGTACCTATTATAAAAGCTACTTGTAAATTCTTACAATACAAAAGCTAGCAAGTTCTTGATATCTCTTCGCGCACTGTAATGCTATCCTGTAAACTTCTTTCAGGTAAAAATAAATTATCTACGTGAAAATATAATTTCATGTAAAAACTTCAAATTGATAATTAGTCAAAGTTAAATGACTGTCCTGCGTTCATGTTGCGATATCTATTTCAGTCCATGTCTGTGGTAAAATCCATTCATTAATGTGGATGCCGTACTTACATATCTATCGTACCATCGTGTTATAGTTTCATAATTTTTTTTGGTGGGTGAAAATGGTATGGTAACCCCGCCTGCGTTAACGGGATACGCTGGCGGAGCACCAGTGAAGGGTGATAGATGAGAATGAAAACAGGCCAGTTAGCCCATCATGATGAATTCATCAAGAATCAACCATGATAGTTTCCAGGGGGAACCGCGAAGAGGTCGACCTGGTTGGGTATATTGCTTGCTTGGATTCTCAGTCTCCATTACTAACAATCCCTTTCCCCCCTATAGTTTCATGTTAGGTATATAGAGTAAGTAATTTCTAAGATACTGAACTTTTTGATTCGATCTAGATTGTAAAAATAAATGCATTCCACCACGCCCCTTTTTAAATAATGCCTATGCTAACATCATTGATAGAAATTTACTAACTAGAGTATCAAATTCAGTTCATATTGCATCGAAATAGAGTACTTTATCAATTAAGCAGTGACGTTTTTGGTTGAGCACAAAACATTATTTGGCTCAATGACATCGCGGTGCTATTAGTAGCGTAAGTTGAGCATAAGTCAATATTAATGTTGAGTTAGGTGTAGGTATGTGCAAATACTTTTGTCTCTAATAGTACTTATACTGTATACACTAGAAATTAAATGGTACACTATAACGGTTTATAATGGCAAATATGGGCAGGTACGGTCATTCATTAATGACTTAAAAGCTTTTATACCAATTTTTTTTTGTTTTATTTAAAAAGTGTATTAAAAACACTAATAAAAATACACCAATAATAAAAATAAAAATCGATTTTTAAAATAAAAATTCTTTTAAAATAATATTAAATTTTTGTTGTTTTGATAAGTTAAATTTATACTATAGTGGTTGTT